AACTTGAAATTTATTTCACGGCAGTGCATTTTCCCCGAAGTTAATGCAGGCCCCTAAATATCCTTCCCAATCATATTCATAACTTGCTCTGGTCAATCATTGGGGTGGATTACGTGCTGAACGTGTAGGTAGAAATGGTGCTAAAGATAGATCAAACAGAAGAAACGGCATTAGAATCAAAATTGTTTACCACATGGAAAGGCAACAAAATATGTACAAATGTACATGGAACAAGGTTTGTAACACATTGAAGATACCAATTGTGTATTATTTTCCATTATATTGAGTCATGCAAAGATGGACATCGTTGACAAGACATAATTTAATTGTCAGCAAAGATCTTGGTGTTGTTGAATTCATGAGAGCAATGGGGTTGCTAATGGTTACTAGGACACCTGGGTTCTGGATAGGTCACCGTGCTTTAGAGTTTGTCAACCAACCTTTCAAGTCTATAAACTGTCATTGAAGTAATACTAAACATTTGTTGCCCTCAACATTGTCCTTCACCAGTTTTAACATGGAAGTCAACAAAAGTCCTGCAAGTTTTATAAACTGCCCCAACTGTTCTTGTGAATTGATTGTCATGATGCTTTAAGACATTTCAAGATTGAAAGAAGTGAATGTCACTGGCGTAGAATCATTCTCTAGAACTAGAAGAGATTGGGAAAGCTAGATTGGCCATTGGACTCCTGGCCAATGTGGCAGTGGGGTTATGCAAATATTTGTACATAACGTTACATTGTTTCATTACCGTCAGTGATAATGATATGTTTTACTGGTTCATTTTGAGTCAGCTCTTCTACTATTAGATACTGGCCACGCTCTGGTGGTTCGAGACATAAATTTATTATATTATCATAAACAGTATTTACACAACGTCGATGAAGGTTAGACATCCAGGTAATACGATATGCCAAAAAACAGTTACTCAAGCAACTGGATATGATTTTGAAAACGTCAACGTTTTCAAAATCATATCCAGTTGCTTGAGTAACTGTTTTTTGGCGATGTAAAAATATGTCTTCAAAAAATTAATAATAATATATTATGTCATACAAGGGGTACCACAAAATACCATCTGTATCTGGGCGTCACATTGACAAGCAGTCTGAAGTGGAGTGCACATGTTAGTAATATCACAACTAAGGCGAAACAGACATTGGGAGTGATTAAACGTAATCTGTGGGCATGTCCAACTATAAAATCACTTGCATACACGTCACTTGTAAGACCGAACCTAGAATATGCTGCGACAGTATGGGATCCATATACAAAGAAAGACAAAGACAAACTGGAAAGGGTACAGAATCAAGCTGCAAGATTCTGTATGAACAACTATGAAAGAGGTGCTAGTGTCACGGAAATGAAAAGTAACCTACAGACTACAGTGGGTGTCACTGGGAGACAGAAGAAAGATGTCCAGACTATGCATGATGTACAAAATGACTACTAAACTGGTGGACGTACCAATTACTAAGTACCTATTACCAGCCCAGCCCAGAAGAGAACAAGAAATAGCCATGCCTTCAAGTACCAGAGTTATCAACCAAGGATTGAGGTGTTCAAGAATTCATTCTTTCCTAGACCTGTCGCAGGGTGGAACTCCCTGTTACCAAGTACAAATGTACAGTAGGGGCATTGTCATTAGATAGCTTTAACAAATTAAACTAGAGTTAGAAGTTCAAGGGTTAGGTGTAACAAGTCAATTGGTGTAATATAGCCAGCTGCTGCTGCGCCGCGTGCATGCGAAGCTGGTGTGTTATGCTGAAACAGAATGTACAACCCAAGTTTCCGTACCTGACTTGTGTGATCTCTGGTAGCATCCATGACAGAATCTTGGCGTTGCCTCGCTCCACCTCTGACATGCCCAGTAGCACCAGTAGCTTCTCTATGGAGAACAGAGTCTCCTTACACTGCTGCCGTAATGTCTGGGGAGGACATCACACACTGGGTTATGTCATCAAGTCTAAAGTCTAACAGTTAAAAGATAAACCATACCAAATATATTGCATTCAAGAAACACATATAGTATGGCCTATGACATACATGTACATGTACTGAACATGTGTAGAATGTACATTGTACACTTTTGGCATTACTTCAGAAGGATTATTTTTTACATTTTTTGCTATTTTCATAACAAAACTGTATATTTTTGGCTCCCAGGCTCCGGTATATTGAAACCCAATATCCAGGTGTTGGAATTTTGATATGGGCATACCATACATACATGTACACTATACATTACTGCAGCAGTAACAAGTGTTGTTAGGGTATTCCATTTTAAATTGCTTTGTTATGGAACAATCCAAGATGGAGTGAAATATGCTGCGTTAGCTTGAAATGTAGCCTTCTAGTTTTTAGTGCATGTAACGGTATATGATTTAAAAAGCCTGAAAAAATCATCCCAATGATAGATGATATCTGTATTTAGGCCACACCAATCTAATTTGTTGGTTCTAGGATTCGCCTCTTCATTTTTTCTATTTACAAAATAAAAAAGATTCTGGTTCTGAATCAACTAAAAAATGCTCATATTTTGCCCCAAAGAGTTGCTAGTTGTTGCAGTTTTTTCCATCTATCAATGCAGTACTTTGATTAAAAGTTGAAAATTCATTGTTTAAACATCAATCCAGTCTTTTGTGTTGACCTCATGGCTCCTATCGTAGCATTTGGGGCTATAATTGGATGCCTTGACCTGTTTTTTATTTATTTATTTTTTCCCTGTCGCTTCATATTTTTTCTGAAAAAATCCGAGAACCAACAAATTAAATTGGTCTTAGTCTAGTATATGTACCTGGATTGCAACTTGTCCCACTGGAAGCCACTGCAGAGTGGCAAAGTACACAGCCTCAGCCACACTGTATCCACAGCAGATATTTGCAACATAAGAACCTGAGAAAGTGACCAGGAACTGGCCACTCTTCTGTTCCACTCGACAAAGGGACACACCCTCTGCTAGTAGGGCACTTGGAGGCACCTGTAACAAAGCACAATAATATTGTAGAACCTGACATCAGCTAATAGCCTGCCTGATCAGGAAGTTGTTTTGTCATCTATTATCATGTAACAGGTATGTATAGAGCACATACAACATACTGATTTGTTATCATTTGTAAACATCTATCAAGTTGACATGAAATGTATACTACTAGTAATTACATATAGAATACAACACAGGGTATTCCGTATCGCCTGAGGTACCAGCCCGACCGCGCGTTGGATCGCCTGACGGCCAATGGCAGATCCGATCTGCGGGAGGGCTGGGACCGATGTATATGCAACATCAATTCCAACGTCCGAATTTTGTATTCGAATTTTCGAAAGCGGTGCAGGCGGTTAGGGCAAACCGTGTTTGAATTGTTCTACGGAACATTTGGAAGTCCGGGCCGTACGCGTTAAGAACCCCCGGGCCGTACCGCTAGTTATCACATGGGCTGGAACACCTGTATCAAACGTAATCACCGCCCAGGTATGACATAATATCCACTTACCATAGCTGCATCTTTTTCAAGCCAGCACAGCCCTTCACTGCATAAATCTGGCACCAGAGAATGCATGGCTTTCCTGAACTTCACATGTTCACTTTGGGGAATGGAGTACCTGTGTTGAAGACAGCATCAGTTTTTGAAAATACAGGTAGACACAAGCCTTAGGGCAAATAAAAAAGTGTTGTTCCATCCAAAATGGAGGGGATACCGGGTTATTTACAATTGCAGAAAAACTATGATGCTAGGACAGGGTTTACAAAATGTATGTGTCCCTAGAACTGTGTACACATGTAACTAGGTTAAATGTTCAGTGCATTCATTATACGGAAAGGCCAGGTGCATGGTTAAAAATACTTAACTAGTAACACTCAAAAAATTATTTATATGGAGAAAACATGTATTCCTTGAACTCTAGCTTGTATTGTATAATATATTGTATTGTACTGTAAAGGGTTCTAGGTAGGATTTAATTTTTGCGTAGTGGTACTGGCCGCATGTCAAGGGAATGAAGCGACCAAGAGGGGGGATGTGGTGGAAGGGGGGATGTGCGGTGCAGAGCTTTTAAAAAATTGAGTTAAAAAAGGGGCCATTTGAGGGATACCCAAAGGGAAAACAATCATTATGTTATTTCTAAGGTATGTACAATATATCCTTGATTGGTAATTTTTCACATTTGATCTGGTATTCTTGAAGAAAGAAATACATGCACAGTCACAACCCTAATATGCTGTATTGAAAATTAGCGTAGGGGTCAAAATTATAGCATAGGGGCCCTACGCTATTTTGCACTAGCTAGAACCCTGATTGTAGGTACATGTACATTGTATCTCCTGAGAGTCAGTAGTAGAGAGCTCACCATATCTTGTCAGCACCAGTGTGAAGGTACTCGATAGATGGCAGCTTGTGGGAGTCACATGACCAGCATGAGGTAGTGAAGAGCATGCCTACCAACAGCCAGGGTGCTGTCACACCTGCAGTAACATAGGAAACAGTCTCTCATTTCAACTCTGACTTTTACAAGAAAAAAAAAACACAAGCTGCCAGTTATTGTTAGGCCAAAGCAAGTAAATTCTATGGATGACATCCTCCGCAGACTCCAAATCTAATGCGATAGCACAAAAAAAAACAAGGTGGGCCAAAAAAAAAAATTGAATTTTCTACATTTAAAAATTTTGACTTCATTAACCTTGTTAAACAAAAAATGATACATATATTGTGGTAAATTTACTGCTGACTACATGTACATGTATTACAACATCCATTTCTCACTGAAACAACCTTGAAAAATAAGTTTTCAATCATTGTACAAATTGTTTTGATTCAGTGGGAACAACATTATATACACAGCCACCATCACATACATTTTGTACATGTGTATAAAAGGAATAAAATACATCACTGCATCTTGTTTTGTCTCACTCTTCATAGTTATCTGCCATCCACATTCCGGCATGGCAAGAGACATCTTGGCCCATTTTCAACAAAATGTCTTGTTTTCTTTTCCAAAATCAGGCGGAAATCAATGTGCGCACTGGTGTCATCCATAGAAATTACTTGCTGTGGCCTTACAGTACCAAACCAGATACGTTCTACATACAACTATACAATGATTGTCACACAGCTACACAAACAATACTGAAAACATAGTACGATTCACCCTTTTTGATGAAGGTGACAAACACATACCTGACATACTTCCCAGGTGTCTGAGGATGTTGTGATGGTTGCTGGGCACTGTGGTGAGATTCCAGCCATGCCTGTCAGACATGCAGACATGATTATATTTAACATATTCATATACAACACTGCAGTTGATAACTACAAGAAATAGTCATGCCTTCAAGTACCAGAGTTATGAACCAAGGATTGAGGTGTTCAAGAAATATCATTCTTTCCTAGAACTATTGCAGAGTGGAACTCGCTGTCACCAAGTACAGTAGTGGCATTGTCATTGGATAGCTTTAAACAAGGTCTAAAGTTAGATGCTAATGGGTTAGGTGTAACAAGTCGATCTGTGTAATATAGCCAGCTGCTGCCGCGCCGCGTGCCTGCGAAGCTGGTGTGTCACGCCGAAAGGCGGTTATACCGGCTATACAGATACAGAAGCTGGTGTGTTACACCGAAAGGCAGTTATACCGGCTATACAGATACAGAAGCTGATGTGTTACGCCGAAAGGCGGTTATAACGGCTATACAGATACAGAAGCTGATGTGTTACGCCGAAAGGCAGTTATACCGGCTATACAGATACAGAAGCTGATGTGTTATGCCGAAGAGCGGTTATACAGGCTATACAGATACAGAAGCTGGTGTGTTACGCCAAAGGGCGGTTATACCGGCTATACAGATACAGATACTTTCTCTCCAGACAGGCAACATCATCAAGTTGGTTGAAATACCAGTACTTAAATTCAGTCTTATCAGCTTTGACATGAAGTCAAACATCAGACAGTTTTTCTAGGCAATGGATATTATTAAGTGCTTCTGAATCAGCTTTAATTTGCTGATGAGTAGCATTTAATGCTGTGAAATTGGTCATCTTCTAATACATACGAGTACATGTAATATGGAGTAAAATAATGCATTACTAAGTTCACAGTATATGATCAAGTACCCACTAAACATGCAAATGTAAAAAGCACCTTCAGTACTGTGACAAACTCTCAAAGTACCCTCTAAGCAATCCCACATTACACCTAAACCTGAAAACAATGTGCCTGACTTTCCTGGGAGAAAAACATCATGTTGTTATGTGTTCCTTGATATCTGTAAAAGAACTGGCCGCCTTGGTGTGCTCATCTGCGAGCAAAAAATATTCCTGCTGGAGTGAAATACTTTAGGAAATGCATGGGGGTTTGCATGGGGGTAATGATACTGTCAGTGACATTGTTCACAAAACCCATGGCACAAAAGTTTGCTGATTATGTATTCATTGATCTAAATAACACCCATGCATCTCACGACTTTAGTGCTCCTTTATAGGAGTAACCTACATGTACATGTACAATTTCTACTGTAACACAGTTGTAAGGGCAAGAACTCAAGAGGGCAAATCAACTTTTACATGTTATATTGACTTTCAGAAAGCGTTTGATTGGATAGACAGGGATCTTTTGGCATACAGACTGATTGCTTGTGGTGTTGATGGTAGATTTTACGAAGCTTTAATGACCTTGTACAAATCACCTGTGGCATGTGTGCAACTTAACGAACACACCACACAATGGTTCCCCACTCCATGTGGAGTTAAACAGGGAGATGTATTGTCACCTACATTATTTTCATTATATGTCGCAAAACTGGTAATTAGAAAGCAATCTGATCTCGGGGTTAAACTAGATGAATAACATTGAGTATTCTACTGTCACAGTATGCAGATGACATTGTTCTCATAGCTGAGACTGAGGCCCAACTACAGGAAATGTTGGACATTGTACTCAGTGGTGCTCAAAATGGAGACTGATGACCAATGAGGCTAAAACCCAAATTATGCTTCAGTCTCCTGGCTTGGGTGCCTCATATTTGTACATGTACAAAGTCTTTCACAATATTATTGTAAACACGTATCATGCAAGCAGTACTGTACATGTATCTATTAACAGCAATATAAAGCAATATACTAATAACAGAAGCATAATATTTGAAAGCAATCTGTTTTTTTTCTTGGATCAGCTTATTGGAGAAGTACATAGTAAAGATTTTAACAGCTTTTGAACACGCAAATCATACCATTTAGTTCATTTTCAAACCTTTATACACATTGCATGTAAGTGGGCACACATGCTTCAAGGGCAATGTCATGCATGCAGCTGATCACAGACCATTCACAGTCAAGAACTGGTTAAAGAGTGCCACGGCTGCATTTAAGCTGGAAGCATTTTTTATAAAAGGAAGCTGCAATATACAAACTGACGCACATTTGAAAACAGAAAAATCCTGACTTACTTGGCAAAACTATCTTGCCTGTGAATGGGGAAGCCACTGCATTGTGGAAAGAGGACAGGAGATACATGTATTACTGACTGTTACGTCGATGAGGGTTAGACATCCAGGTAATACGATACGCCAAAAAGCAGTTAGTGACTGACAAAAGCTAGTGGATACTAGCTGAAACGTCTGACTTTTCAAAATCATATCCAGTCGCTTGAGTAACTGCTTTTTGGCATACTGACTGTTATCTTGAAAGTTCATCTGTGTTGGTAGAAATCATTATGAAGCACAAGTTTAAACTGCGATTTCCAACACAACAAATTGGACTCAACCAAATTTTCGACTGTACAACTCCAGTCTTTGTCAAGGAATGAGCAATCCACCGCTTCCGTGACATATCAATTCGAAGTCTGGTTCTTAGACACAGAACCGGACTTCTTTGCACGAGGGATTAAAGAGGCCATCTACTAGTATATCAGGGCATTACAACCATCCCTCAACAGAGACGGGGGGCGCCACAGACTTTCTGAAACCTATGATCCACTGCTCACGAAGCCATGTGTGTTATCTGCTTGATGTCACAAAAGCGGTGGATAATAATGCTCATTCCTTGACTGAAGTTGTCAGTCGAAAACTTGGGTGAGTCCAATTTGTTGTGTTGGAACTTGCTTCATAATACTGTATTTGTTTTAAACTTGCTTCATAATATTACTGACTGTGTGTACAAATGTATATTTAGCACTGTGAATGTATTGTGTAGAAACTAAGGTAAGTAGGAGATAAACATGACTTTGTCATGTACATGTATGCTATGAGGAAACCCCTTTTGGTCACAACTTGAAATATGCAGGGTGTATAGAATCAGTTATGATAGCCTTCTTGAAATAAATGACTTTTACATCATTTCACCCCACTGGCATCAACCTTACTTAACATAAACATACATAAACATTATGTAGTAATGTTGATACTTTCGACATAAGCAGTCATGCAAAGTATGATCATGCAAAGGTCTATCCTAACAATGTTATTGTGCTTTCTTCAGGACCTGTCAATATCCAAGACAGAAAGGTTTGCTAGAAAAATAGTCCAAAATGCCCCCCTCCCCTGATTGTTAATAATCAAAGAACATACTTTGTACATGTGTAGAGAGGGAAAGTTCAGACAGTGTCTGTGCCCTGTATTGTGAGTGAGCCCCACATCATCTTACTTCACATCACCTTACTTCATCTCACCTCACCTCACCTCACTCTGCCACTCAACTCAACTCCACACCACATCACCCCCTCACCTCATTTTACTCCACTTCACTTCACTTTGTCCACCAAATCTCACTTCAGCTCACCTCACCCCATCTCACCTCACCCCAGTTTGAACATCACATTTCACCTCACCCCATCTCACCTCACCTCACCCCACTTTGAACACATCACTCCTTCACCTCATTTTATCCCACTTCACTTCACCTCACTTTGTTCACCACATCTCACCCCATCTCACCTCACTTCAACTGACCTCACCTCACCCTACTTTGAACACACATCTCACCTCACCCCATCTCACCTCACCTGGAAATACTGGGTGCATGTGCATCTTAGTGCACCCAAAATTGGAGCTGTGCACCTATTTTTTTTCTGTGGGTGCACTGGTACACCCAAATATACTAAATGTATAGTAACTGTAACAGTTGTAGTTCTGTAAGATTTTGAAGTCAGCTCCCATTTCATATTCAAGTTTAGAAGAGGAGCAGTAAGATCTGTAATTAGGTTTTGTTGTGTATGGTGCACTCAAAACTTTTTTTGTGCACCTAATTTTTTAGGTTGGGTGGACCAGTGCACCTATTCCCAAAAATGAATTTTGAGCCCTGCACAATGTACATTGTACTACTATTGTATGTCTTGATCATTGGAGGCGACATTAGAAAAGAGGAGTCATGGATTTTCGGGTATTTTGAAATGTTTACCTTCCAAGTGTTTTTGTATCCACTATTGCTGTGTGAACTGCAGTGTGGATCAGTCTCTCATCCACAAGTTTCCAGTACTCATGCTGCAAGTGAAAAACAGACAAACATTATCCAACTAGTACATGAATTACACTCGGACTCCTACTGTCAGACTCCAAGATACAATTCTTCACAGTGAAAATTGTCTGTGTCCAGTATTCATTTCTATGTGCGGGACACAACACCAGCGACAGATGCCTCTGTTTTGCGTGTATTGCACAGTTTCAATTTCAATAAATCAAACGAAATCAATAAAAAGAAAAGTTAAAATCCACCCTGCAACCATTAGCATGGTTGCCCATGGTGGTGCCCATCTCTGTTTCTGTAGCCCTTGGGCCACACAATTGTGTCACTACAGCAGGGGGCTAGTCCGCTGGTAGTGGTGTGTGTTTAACTCCCACACTCTTTCTCAAAATGCTAAGTGCTAAGCAGAGAAAGCAGTATGCACCATTTTTAAAGTCTTTGGTATGATGATGGTATGACTCAGCCGGGGATCGAACTCACGGCCTACCGATCGCGAATGCAATGCGAGCATTCTACCCACTTGGCCATTGCACCAGTTCACAGGAAATACAAGACGTCAAATGGTGACATCCTCCTCCATCAGGGAGGCATAGAAAACATTTGCTCAGGGAAGGGATTCAGTACTGGTCTCAGTGGTTTTAATAATAATAAGAACTCCTTACTCACTTAGTCTATGAGAAGAATGTATAATATGTGTATGTATGAATATTGTGTAAAGAGACACACAAAAGGAAGGGTGACTATTTGCTGTGAAGAATCACTGACTGCACCAGCAATCTCTGCTGGCAGAGACTCTGAAAGCGATCTCTAACCTAATACAGTTGAACACTTTAAGACCCACCTCAACCTCCTGTGTGCTTGGCTCTTTCCGGAAACATGTGTTCACCACGTTTCTTGCAATACGGTAGAAAGCGGACAATGACATGGACTTTCCCTGGAAAACACAACTCCAGTCAGTATTTCTTACCTAAGTGTAGAATGATAGCCTGGTAACCAAACCTATTATAGCTCCCGAGTCCTACAGCCTCTCTGCAAATAGTGGAGAGGATGGAGAGGATGTAGGACTCAGGAGCTATTATATAATAGGTTTGGTAACCAGGCTATAGAATGATGGCTAACAAATGAATGGCTTGATGTGTTACATGTACCTCACTCATTCTTGATAAAGACTGAATTAAAGTCGAAACCGGTCGAATCCCGTCTCGAGTCTGTCATCTTCCCATCGCTACGAATGATGTACCTCACTCATAGTTTCATTTTGCTCCCTAAAAAAACAACCTCTATGCCATAATTCTGCTTTAAAATATACAATATCATTTTCCCGAAAGATTCTTTTGATTATGCATGTCTTCACTAGAGTATTGATTGTGTAGCTGTGGAAAATAGCGTTTTAGCATTTACATGTATTTCCGAACAAAGAAAATTGTTTACACGAGCGAACTTTACGCCCTGTGAGTCTAAAGATACTTAAAGTTTAACATCTTATCCTTGTGTACCCTTTGAGTTGGAATAAAATTTAGCATTGTATACATAATATATGCCAAAAAACAGTTACTCAAGCAACTGGATATGATTTTGAAAACGTCAGACGTTTCAGCTAGTATCCACTAGCTTTCGTCAGTGACTGAGAGACCAGAGGGGAAAGCAGGTTTATATACACAACCTGTTGATTGATATGCAAATAAAGTGAAGACAAATTTTTGGAAGTCGAAAAACGAACAAAAGTCAGACAAGTCAAGACAAGATGATGCAAATTAGTCTGAAAGCTCCTGTTATACAGGACAGGAGCTTAAGTGTTGTCTGTCCTCGGGGCTGGGAGTGCCAAATCCCAAGTGCCGGAAAGATCGACCCGTAGCCCGACCTAGTGCCAACGGCTACTCCTCAGCTATTTTCCACCACCTACAACACAACCAGGGTCACTCTTTCAAACTCGAGTCCACGGATGTCTTAGACCGCGAAACACGCTGGTGGGAACGGGGTGTTAAAGAGGCAATATATGAAAGAATGTACAACCCCACCCTCAACAGGGAAGGGGGGCTACGGGTCGATCTTTCCGGCACTTGGGATTTGGCACTCCCAGCCCCGAGGACAGACAACACTTAAGCTCCTGTTCTGTATAACAGGAGCTTTCAGACTAATTTGCATCATCTTGTCTTGACTTGTCTGACTTTTCTTCGTTTTTCGACCTCCAAAAATTTGTCTTCACTTTATTTGCATATCAATCAACAGGTTGTGTATATAAACCTGCTTTCCCCTCTGGTCTCTCAGTCACTGACGAAAGCTAGTGGATACTAGCTGAAACGTCTGACGTTTTCAAAATCATATCCAGTTGCTTGAGTAACTGTTTTTTGGCATATCGTATTACCTGGATGTCTAACCTTCATCGACGTATACATAATATAACTTTCTGAAATAACACATAACTAGAGATTCTGAAGTGACATTTGAAAAGCAAAATTAATGCATAATGTTTACCTCTGGACATGGTCTGCCCTGTTAAATTAAATTTTTACTCAAACACATTCACATACATGTACTACGAGTACTAAATTGTAGTATATGGTGACAGGAGTAGAGCAGACCATGAAATTGCAACATTATGTAACCCAACACCAGTCACCATGGTGAGTGACAGATGTCAACAAATCATGTCATTGGCCAGGTCAGAGGTTAGTGTTTGGAACAGAAGAGGAAGAAACTGAGTAAAAACAATATGTTTTCCTTCGGTAAACATAAATATATTTCAATCTAATGGTGATGACTTACTACATGTACCATGTATATCTGTAATAGAAAATAGCTTGACTGACCCGCAGCATGCACTCATTGTAGAAATCCATGTCATCTTCCTCCTCCTCATCCACACTACTATCTGAAGAAACAAGAATGTCAGAAATTACATCAAGTAATACCCATACTATGAAACTGAACTATTGAAATCTCTGTAACATATTATCTGTATCTGTATCTGCATGTATATAACTGCATTCGGCGTAACACACCAGCTTCGCAGGCAGGTGGCACAGCGGCAGTTGGCTACATTACACCGAACGACTTGTTACACCTAATCATTGAACATCTAACACTAAACATACAATGTACATGTATACTCAGTAATGATACTGCAACATATTCAATATACCATGTAATAAGTGCTAATCTTGATGAAACAGTCAACAAAATGACCAAAAAAGAAGAAAAAAGTTTTGAAAGTTAAAGTTGACCTTTGCTTACTAGCTAATATTTCAACAACTGTGATAAAAAACAAAACATACAGCACTCTTTCAGACCCACTATCTGATTTATCACCAGTCCTGTTAATCCTGCTGCAATTATAATCTAATTTGTATATTGTACTGTATGTGACTTTTTAAAAACAAAAATGTGAAAGACCAAGACTTAGTGGGAAAATGTACTATAGTCTGTTGCATACAGTACACCATTAGTATAGTTCAGAATCTACATGTACATGTACATGACATTGTACATACATTGGTGTCCACAATCATTGGCCCCAACACTTGTACTTTGTACACTAACTGTAAATAGAGACACTTTCGCAGTCAAGTTGTTGAAAAAATGTTCCAAGTACCTTCCAAGGCACTGTCAGTGTTGTCAGTATGCAGCTTGACCCATCGCTGGTGCATCTCTTTAGCTTCATCTGTCACCTCCTGGTGTAACCTCTCCTTCTCCTCCTGATGCATCAATAACAACAGTCAGCAACAGTTAAGCACTACTGGACTTACTTACATATTCACTCTAACAATAGTGCTCCCTGCTTTCTTTGTACAAAACTGCAACTACATGTAGCTAGTGTCCCTGGAAAGAATTTTGCAACACATAAGGCCACAGCAAGTAATTTTTATGGATGACATCAGCGCGCGCATTAATTTTCGTCTCATTTTGAAAAAAAAAAAGAAAGAAATTTCTGACAGTGGTCAACATGCCAAAAATGGGCAAAGATGTCTGTTGCCATGCCGGAAGGTGATGCTGGCTGTGTACATGTGATGTTCCCACTGAATCAAAACAATTTGTACAATGATCGAGTCCAAATTTTAAATTGTAGGAAACTTGTTTTTTTCGGACTGCCTTGTTTTTTTTCCCCGTTCGCATTAGATTTGGAGTCTGCAGAGGATGTCATCCATAAAATATACTTGCTGTGGCCTAACATACTTTTTGTACAAAATGTACAAGGAAAAACTGAACACTCTGTGATCTCATAACTTTTTCTGAAGCAGTGCACATGTAAAGCACCAGTCCTATGATTCAGACTGCATGAACACCAGCAACAAGCAATAGATTGGTGATTTTGTCCATTATTCAATACCTGGATTCTGACATGCTCCAATCCAAACAGATATTGTCAATTTGTATATACATTACATGTATATACATTATATGTATATATGTATACATTATATGTATTATACATATATATAATGTATGGTGGGACGGTTTTTTCCGTGCAAAACCTATGATTTAGAGCCTGAAACGCGTTATACAGGCAAATTTTTCCAAAGACATGAATGCCTGTTTATGAAACACGAATAATCATAATCCAACTTGTCATAGAAGGTATAAAATTTCACAAGATGCAAAAATACAAATTAATGACGCGTACGAAATAAATGTACCTATCACTATACAGCATTCCAGAAGCTACATGTACAGTGTAGGTAAAATCATCATCAGTGATGCACTACCAAAAATATTTTTTCTTATTTTCTTATGTTACAAAATATTTTCTTGTGAAGGGAATATTCAAGAAAATTCAAGAAACATTCTTCAAAGTTTTTGTATGTTGATTCTTACACAAAGAATTTTATTCTTCGTTTTTCTAAAGAAAAGAAAATGTTTCTACTGTCATGCTCACCAACAAGAATCTTAAGAATTTTTTAGAATTTTAAGAAAGTTCACAGTATTTTTTTTTGGCTACAAGAACAGTTAGCTCTTAGTTCAAGAAATCTTTTCTTGTGTACAGAATGGTTTTCTTGCTACAAGAACAGTTAGCTCTTAGTTCAAGAAATCTTTTCTTGTGTACAGAATGATTTTCTTGCTTCAATAACAGTTAGCTCTTAGTTCAAGAAATCTTTTCTTGTGTACAGAATGGTTTTCTTGCTGCAAGAACAGTTAGCTCTTAGTTCAAGAAATCTTTTCTTATTCTTGCTACAGCAAGAAAACATGATTGTCGATGAAGGTTAGACATCCAGGTAATACGATACGCCAAAAAACAGTAACTGTTACTCAAGCAACTGGATATGAATTTGAAAACGTCAGACGTTTCAGCTAGTATCCACTAGCTTTCGTCAGTGACTGAGAGACCAGAGGGGAAAGCAGGTTTATAAACACAACCTATTGATTGATATGCAAATAAAGTGAAGACAAGTTTTTGGAAGTCGAAAGAGAACAAAAGTCAGACAAGTCAAGACAAGATGAACAGACTCAAATTTACAGACTCAAATGTGAGGAGCCCAATTGTAACAACACCTACATCGGAGAGACAAGTCGACCGCTCAAAGTAAGATACAAAGAACATTGCCGATCTAGTGCCAACGGCTACTCCTCAGCTATTTTCCACCACCTACAACACAACCAGGGTCACTCTTTCAAACTCGAGTCCACGGATATCTTAGACCGTGAAACACGCTGGTGGGAACGGGGTGTTAAAGAGGCAATATATGAAAGAATGTACAACCCCACCCTCAACAGGGAAGGGGGGCT